TACGACAAGAATTAGTAAATAGGTTAACTTCAAATGAGACGTCCCGTCGAGATATTGTACGAATGAGTCCCCAAGCTTTCTTCCGCTTATGTCGGATGTTGAGAGGAAGTGATAATTTGAAGGACTATAGGCGAGCAACGGTAGAGGAGCAAGTTGCTAAGTTCCTTCACATTTTAGGTCACAACTGGAAAAATCGAGAGCTCGTATTTTATTTTCATCGATCGAGTGAAACTATTAGTCGACATTTTCATAATGTGTTGCGAGCAATGATTTCCCTTGAAAGGAACTCGCTTAAACAACCACTTGGTTCGGAGGTTCCACATCGATTAGAAATAGTAGTAGATTTTTTTCTTTTTTCAAGGTAAGAAACCTTCTTTATATTTTACTTAAGCAACTTTTCTAAGTTATTTATTTATTTAACAATTATATGATATATGAAATCATTTATACATATAAATTTATACAGGATTGTATTGGGGCAATAGATGGAACACATATTCGTGTTAAGGTACCAAATGATATTGCAATCGGATATCGAGGTCGAAAAGATTGGCCAACACAAAATGTATTAGCCGCTTATGACTTTGACATGAAGTTTATGTATGTTTTAGCTGGATGGGAGGGAACAACATCCGATTCAAGAATTTTAAAAAATGCTCTAGATAGGGAAGACAAACCGATAATTCCTCGAGGTTAGTTTAATTATTCTAGAGTTCTACTTCCGTGTTTCGAATGTAACTATATATCTTCTAACCATATGTAATCATTTTTCATAGGAAAATATTATTTGGTGGATGCGGGTTACATGTTAAAAAGTACACTACTCACCCCATATAGAGGTGTGCGATACCATTTGAAAGAATATTCCGTACGTGGCCCTCGAATTATAAGGAGTTATTCAACCATCGTCACGCCTCCCTTCGAAATGTCATTGAAAGAGCATTTGGTGTAATGAAAAAAAGATTTCCCATCATCGCAAGTGAAACGAACCACATTACTCATTTCATACAATGACGGACATAGTGCTTGCTTGTTTTATATTGCATAACTATTTGATTGGAGTAGATCCCGATGATGTTATCCTTGCTGAAGTCGATAGAGAGCTACTTGAAAGTGATAGTCAAGATAACCAAGAAATATATGATGGACGCAATACCGATCACGAAGCAAGACAAGGGGCACTTTTGCGAGATTCTATAGCGATCGAAATGTGGAATGCCTATGAACAAAATTTGTAGAATGCAACTAAATCAATTAGTTGAATGCTTTTCCCGTTATTAAATTTGATGATGTCCGTGTTTTTAACGTGTATTGTTGTATTTTTCTCGAGATATATTACATAAGTATGTATGACTTATGACACTAATTCAAGTTAATAAAGTGTTTAATTTTAACACTTATGCTTGTTTGTTGTGTTCTTAACGTATTTCCATGCAATGCCAAACATATTACAAAATTGTTGAATTAAAATGGATGCTTTGCAATATAAAAGATGCGTAGGGGAAGCGAAGAAAGGAGTTCACAGGACGATGGTTCTACCAGAAGCAATATATATTGGAGTGTTGAAATGGATAATGTATTAATTGGTTGCATGCTTGAAGAGAAAATCAAAGGTAATCGACCGGATGGACATTGGACAACAACGACCTTAGATAATTTGTTGCGTAGGTCTAAGTGGCTAAATTTGGGAATCACATCCAAAAGAACCATATTAAGAATAGACAAAAGACATTGAAGATAACTTTTAGTGAGGTGAAAGACTTATTTCATGGTGCAAGTAGATTTGGCTGGAATCCCGAGACAAAGACTTTTGAAGCAAGTACCGAGGTTTGGAGAGAGCTAATTCGAGTGACTATCATATATAACTTTTATGAATATATATACTTGCAAAGTATATGATAAATTACTCTTAATGTGTAGGCAAAACCGAAGCGCGAAAGTGGATGCATCATCCAATCAACAACTATGATAAATTGTATCGGATATATGGCCAAGATAGAGCAAGCTGGAGAGGGTTCTACAAGTGCTTGAGAGAGGGTGATGATGTGGGAAAGGGAAGGTTCGTGGAGCCAATTTGATCTCAATGATGATAATAACATAACATCGGATAGCGAAACAAATTAGGGGAATCGAACCCAAGGTACCATGCAAATGCTAGCTTCTATACTCCCGATTATATAGCTTTGCCCAATTCCGAAGAAACAAACTCATCTAGAGGCACTAAATGTAAATTATTTGTCTCATTTTCCGTGATTCAATTGACTTTCGATGATTGTTCGCAATGTTACAATATATTCTTTTTTTTTAATTGCTTAATAGAAATTGTTTATTCTAAAAAAAATGGAGAAATGATGAGTAAAAGCAACTAACTTATTATATGCATAGCTAATAATACATGTTATACATATTTAAATTAATTTTATCCCGATTATATAGCTTTGCCCAATTCCGAAGAAACAAACTCATCTAGAGGCACTAAATGTAAATTATTTGTCTCATTTTCCGTGATTCAATTGACTTTCGATGATTGTTCGCAATGTTACAATATATATATTTTTTTTAATTGCTTAATAGAAATTGTTTATTCTAAAAAACAAATGGAGAAATGATGAGTAAAAGCAACTAACTTATTATATGCATAGCTAATAATACATGTTATACATATTTAAATTAATTTTATGTTGATAATTAATATAAATTGGCTATTGGATTAATTAATTAATAAACGGTTATCGGTTATGCTATGGAGACGATTCATTATCTATCTTATCATTTCGGATATATGCTACATGCTAGATTTTTTTTATCATCATTTGTGTTATTTTCATGACAAAAATACTCATACAAATTTATTATAAGTATTTAAATATATAAATATAATCACAAGGGTATTATAGTAAATATATAATCATATATTTTCTTTCCTTCCTCTTCCAAACAAAGGAAATGTATTTTCTTTCATTTTCTTTCCACTCTTATCCAAACAACAAGTGGAAAATGATTTTCTTTCCTTCTTTTTTTTTTCTCTCTTTTCTTTCCTCCCAAGAGGAATTATCCAAACATAAGGTTAATAATATCGGATCCTCTGGAGATATATTGTATTTTTCTAGATTTTATTTACGTACTTAGCCATTTAATTTTTAACCTGTCACGTCTTCTGTAAAAAAAAAAAAAAATGAATATTTTATGTTGTAGGAGAGGAGAGGAGAATTATTCATATATGATAAAGTAAGTTGCTATCTAATTTTAGGAGGAAAAAACGAGACAGAGAATAAAAAAAATCATAATAGATTTATAATATCTTCTTCTTAAAATAACATTTCAGGGACTAAATTGTAATTATATGATGACAAAAAAGCTTTCAATGAAAAATTTAACTGCTATAAAAGGAAAACGAGATGTTCCCTTCTCAGTCACAAGGCGAGCAGCCTCTCACGCACTACAAAATACCCTAAAAATTCCTCTACAGCGCCTTATGGAAGACCCCTCACCTGCCGTTTCATCTTCTGCAGAAGAAGAAAACGATGACGAAGAAGAACAACAACATGGCACAGTCGAAACCAAGCAAAATGGCGCCGGTGAGAAACAAAACAATGACGAAGACGACGAAGAATCTGGGAAACAGAAACCCGACCTGCCCTTCAAACCTTCAAAGCCCCACTCGGATGATAACGCAGCAGACACCGAGTCAGGTCAGCTACCGTCAACTTCTCTTTCTGATTTAATCATCAAGCCCATCTCGCCGAAGCGCAAACCTGGCAAAAAACCGGAGCAGCCCAAGAAGGAGGACGCTGAGGACAGGAACGCAAAGAGGGGAGCCGGACCTGGGACCGGAGGTTCTCAGCGGACATGGGGTGATGAAGATGAGATTGTTATATTAAATGGTAATGGTATCATTGAGTACCAAAATGAGAAGGGGAAAATGCCATTTTTGGATACTAGTGATTTCTATAGATTTGTGATGGAATCACTTAATTTTAGTGCTTTCATTCATCAGTTTTCTGATAAAATCAGTAAATTGAACAAGAAGTATCATACTGATGTGGATTATAAGATCAGTAAGTTCAAGAAGAAGTATATCAGATATTTTTAGCAAACTGCATGATTTGGAGTGTGTAGAAATTGCAAAGAAGATATTTGATACTGAGATATTGGATACCGAGGAAGGTTAGAAAGGAAAAGCTGATGGAGTTGGAAAGTAAGGGAATGGATGAGTATGAAATTGGAGTTTTTCATGAAGGAAAAGGATTTGATTGCAAAACAGGTGAAGTTAGCTTTAGATGCTTTGAAGTCGCAGTATTAATAGGATGATTCTTGTATAAAAAGTAGCACTGGTTGGTGAACTAGTTTTGATTAAAGACCCCTTGAAAATGTGTTTTGTTTTCTTTCATTGGGATATATATGATGGGGTTAGATGGAGAAACAGATTGGTCTTTTTGGGTCTTCAACAGGCATGGTTCTGGTTTCGGTTTTGCTTGTTCAGTTTCAGGAACTTTGGTTTTAGAAATCTACTTGGGTCCTGTTGTCTTTTCAGTTGATATCAATGTAGCAATAGTCTTTCTGCTTGTATCGGTTTGCTGGAAATCTATTATTCTTCTTAGAACATGAGTTGATATGTGTTTACTTGAGGTTTTGCTGCAAAACATGACCTGTTCACTTTGTGTTAGTAAATCTGCAAAGTGCACGTGTTGGTACGTCTGCTTTCATCTTTCAAATAGAAATCGTGAAACTGATTCCTCTTGAATTTAATTTCGAGTCTTAGCAGTGATTACCATACTTGTTTTGTTTGTTAAAATTCTGTGTGTTAAGTATGACATCATTGTTTGTGGCTGTCGTGTTTATCAATAAGGAATTCTAGATTTAGGATTTACTTCATGCATGCACATTTCAGGGTATGTTAGGGGTTAACTACTGATTTTTATCTATTTGAGATGCCGTGACTCCTTTTCTTCTTCAGTATCTAGAATGAGGTTTGATGTTTTGTGGATGAATTCTCCAGCATGCTTGTTTCTGATAGTATAGTAGGACTGGATGAAGAATCTGTCACATCAGAATATGCCCCACAACTAGAAAGTGGATTTGGATTTTCGATCAGTTTTTTTGTCATTTGTTACTCTTTTCTCATCAAAACACACTGCTTCTGTGGGAGTTATACTTTGGAAATGTATTCTCATAGTATGGTATCATGTTGCTGGCTTCAGAGCTAAGTACCTTGCAAAGCAAACGTGGCTCGAGTACTGCCATGCGATAAAAAAATCATCAGGATGACGGTCTCTATGTAAATGTATTTATTACTAGTTTGGCAGGTATTACATGCCCAGTCTCCTATGTCTGCACTTAAATGTATTTATCTTTGTTTTGTTATTTAATTATCATGTTAGGCAATAATTAGGTAACCTGTTTTCTTTAAGTCTATATTGCAGAGCTTCCTGGGTTACTTCTGTCAGCAATTGTGGTATAGAGAATGTGTAAGTTCTAGTAATGCCACCTATAGCATACATACGTTACCATTTTACTTGGGCTGCAAAAACTGAAATGGAGCAGTTGATGAGATGGTTTGAGCTTGTGAATAAATTTGTTGTGCCTCCAGTAACATCTAAATTACTACCAAAGAAGAGGGAGGGTGGCAAGAACATGAGTTGAATAAAGAATGTCTGGATAGGCAATTTCCCATGATTCGTCAGATAATTCCTAATAGAGAAGCATGGCGAATAGAAGAAAAAGTAAGACAGGATAAATTTAATTAACTTTTATGGGTACCCTAAATATTTTCTGTGGATATGTTGAAGCTATGCCTTAGCTTGTTAGCAGTAGCTAATTCTAATTCCTGATTGATGCTATTGCTAGCAGTTCTTCATGACAATAGCTCAAGTTCTTTCAGCGAACATATGGTATTGTGTGCTGTTATTTTATATTCCTTGTAGTATTTTATTCCTTTTATCTCTTCAACCAATTTGTTTGCAGGAAATTATAATTATATTTCCCAGGACCAAAGTTGAAAGTTTAAAGCAATTTGTTTCCTTTACAAACATGTTTGGAGGTCGTGTTGAGTGGTATCACTTTGCTTCAGGTATCAAACCAATTAGACCGCCTGTACTTGAAGTTTCTTACGCAGAATCCTGGTTATGATGGAAAGGCATATGCTCATTTAACAATTGCTCTGTTTCTTCATCAATCTATGCTTTTGATTTCCACGTAACAAACTCAATAGTATGCGAACATGTATCTAGATTTCAATATATGTCCATTCTTTGGGAAGTGTCCTCTCATACGACATCCTGTGCCACCAAGAGAATCTTTCTTCTCCATTCCCAGTGGATTGGATGTGTAAAGAATATCCTAGGAGTGAAGAATCTTCCCTCGATATGAGTCAACTGATTGACCAACCTGGAGGGAACAACTCTAACGTAGTCAATGAGGCCGAAGGTATAGTACTGGATCCAGTTGATGAAGAAATGATGAGTGCAAGATCAGCTTTGGTACATGATGATGGGCTTGCTGATGATTTTTGCACGATCTCGAGTCCTCTTGCATCAAACTTGGATGAAACCATATCAGATTCAAATTTTATGCAGATGGGTGGAACACAAGGTCTCCATGAATTTGTTCATGACTCCAGCAATGTGCTTTCTCAGCAAAGAGATCACATAATTTGTTTGCATCTTAGGTGAAGGCACTCTCATGTTTTGGTATCACTGGATTTTATATGTGAAACAGGAAATGGCAAGGCAATCGAAAACAAGCCAAAGCAACCCGTATCTAACATGTTGGCAGTTGGACAAGATGAAGCACCAAAGAGTTATACCCCTTACATCAAGTACACGAAACTTGAATTCAAGGTACATAAATCCTTGTTCCTTTTATTTGTAATTTTCTTTTATCATTGTGTTGCAGAGGTATACTAGCTTTTGCCAACTCTGGATGTGATAGACTTTCAAACTCAGATAGTAGAAGGGAGAGGAAGAAATTGTAAACCTTTAATTGTTAGAAAGTTAACATTTTAGCCGAGACCACAAAATACCTGATTGATCGTACCATTAATTTTATTTGAATGCTTATATATCAGGTTGACACATTCTTTGGTATTGGATCACCTCTTGGAGTCCTTCACTATCTTCGCAACATTCGGATTGGAATCGGTAATATTTGAAATTACACAAGTCTCATTTTTCACTTTCCTTCAAAATTTTCTTTTAATACTTGAAACAGCAAGTCTCAATTTCAAAATCTAGTTTTAATAGGTGTTTTTCATAAATTTTCCAGGGAAAGGGCAAAAATATTGGGCAGAGGAAAATATCAGTGAAGAGATGCCGGCATCGATGTCGTCAAACGTTCAACATTTTTCACCCCGTACAACATTTTTTTTTTAAATTACTGATCAATCTAGATAAATAAGATTATAAAAATATATTCATCGATGTTAATATTGATTTATAGATATATAAATCATGTCATGCTATCGAATAGCAAATTCTTAATTATCTATAGAAAATTGTGTGTTTAGAAGCTCTGATGATTATTATGGACTCACAGTATAGTAACTTCCACGTTGCGTTGAAACAAAATCTGTACTTTTTTTTTCCTTCTGATAATTTCAAAAACGGATCATCTTTTGACTATTTTTTATAGGTACAAATTGATTTTAGAATAAGAGGTTTCAAGCCTTTTATGTTCTAAAATAGGCAAAGCAAACCTAAACTTTATGGTGGTTGGAAGTCTAATAAAAAATAAATAAATAGACCAAAAAAAAACATGTCCTCATGCCTTAAAACTGTCAGAGCCCTTTTTATTTTTATTTTTTCCAGTTAATTAAACGATCGAGCAAGCCTAACAAGGCCAGATGCATAGGTCTGGATGTGTAATTTTCTCTAGCTGGAAGCATATACCTACCCTTTCTCCCATCTTGAAGGAACAAACCTCTCCCTTAGCAGAAATCAATGAAGATCTGCTGTACTTCAGGATATGTTTCAAAAGATGCAAATCATCACGTGCATGCATACATAATAAGATTCTAGAAAAAACACCGAATAGCAGGCGAGGGGTCTTCTACAAGGCGTTTTGGAGCAATTTTTAGGGTTTTTTTTTAAAAAAAACAAAAAAAAGTGATCACTTCCACTTCTTTTGACAAACTCATTAAAAACATAATTACCATTTAGTAAGAGCATTGTTTCATATTGCTACGAGTGTGGGAGAAAAAAGCCTTAGTGATTATCTTTAAGATAAAACATTTGTCATGATAATTATGGCTGATTGCTTGCTATTTGGTTTATGCAGTTGATCAGTTCAAGCACTTGGTTCTTCTTACATGGACTTATGCAATGATGCCGCTAAGACTTCATGTTGGAATTCCTTAATTAATTCTTCAAAATTTCCCCACGACGTGGTTCTAAAGCAAATACCATGTTGTAAGGAAAAGAAAATAAAAACATAAAATAAAAAATCATTCTAATTTCATTTAGTTTATTTCAACTGCCAAGCAAATGTACTTCTTCTATAATAGAAAACAAAATCATTATAATCTCTAATTTCACGAGGATTATAATCTCTAATTTCATGAGGATATTATGCATTCTTCTAAGTTTTAGTTAAGTTCTGAACCATCTAATTTTTAACCTTTCACATCCTCAATAACCAAAAAAAGATGAATATTTGAAGTTGTAGGAGAAGAGAGGAGAATTGAATTATTCATGTGATAAAGTAAGTTGTTTATATATATATATATATATATGTGTGTGTGTGTGTGTGTGTGTGCGTGCGTGCGTGCGTGCGCGCGCGCGCGCGCGCGCATGTGCATGCGTGTGTGTGTGTGAGAAAACAATATATCAATGGTAGTACGAGAAAACAAAATCAAAGTGAAAAAAAAAACTTTTTTTTTCTCAACATTTCATTTCAGGAATTTAAATGAACTATTTCCCTTCTCAATCACAAGATGAGTACTCTCTCACATACTATTTTTTTTTTAAAAAAAAAACCCCAAAAAATAAGAGAGAACATATGGCTCGATAATGATGGAGAGATTAACCAGAAGTGAAGGACGAATAGACCACATGCTTCATGTGCATGGCAGTACGTTTTGATGCTTTTGTTTAAAGCTGTATTATTATTTCACTCCATTGTTGAAATTGCTTAGTGCTTGTGTGGACATTTCTTTTTACCAAAACTCTCTTGTAAAATTGTCACACGTGGGTGCATGGGAATGTGGTTATCTACTTTTGACATCCAATGTTGTGTAGATTCCCTTAATATTCACCATCTGGCTTCCGTTTCCGCATATGACTTAGAATGTTTCGTATTATTCCATTGGTATCGGTGAGAAAATTTTCTTTATAAATGAAGTTATCTGTATCGTATTCTGACATCCACCAATACAATTGGTTTAGAGATGCATCTTTTTAGTTTTCTTTAATAATGAAGTCATTTGCATCTTATACTGACATTCATCAATATAGTAGGTTTTGAGATGCATTTGCGACTGTCTATTAGTTATTAGCCAACTTTGCTATGATGATGATGTGGCTGTTTTCATGCCATAGATGAAACTACATAGCTTAAGCCTCAGATGATCTGAATTACTATAGGCAATAAAATGATGTTTGCATTTTTGGGAAGTAGGTCTTTAATTGGTAATAGAACTTATATGATGTGGAAGAACCGCTGCAATGCATTGGTACTAGTGATAGAATGTGAGGTGGTGTCATCTTGATGATGGCCAGCTTCTTTCCAGATCATATATTTAATTCCATGGTTGCTTTACTTTGTACGAGATTTATAGTTTTTGCAATTGTTGAGGAAATCTATACTTGGGAGGCCAAGTAAATCTGTATGTACTAACACTTACATGTAAAGATTGACATTACGTTAATCCAAAAACTAAGAATAATGAACCACAGATCTGTTTTATATATAAATACTTTAAATTGTTTATTCCTGACTTGGACCATTAAATTAAAGCTTAATGTTCCAAAAAATCAAGGCTTACATACATGTTAATGATTTTAGTTTGTTTTTTAAAAATTATATAAAAAAGTTATCAATTAAGCATTTGATAACAATATTAGCATCGATTTGATTTTTTGATCAAAATTTTGATCAACGTTGATATGGTAAGTAATGAAACATGACACGTGAACCTTAACAAATCAAAAGGATCCATAATTTTTCATGTCACTGCTTATGTGGATCTTATATGGCATATTGAAGTCTATATGTCATGTTTATATGGACTACTATGTCAGTATTGATTAGAATTTTGATCGAAAAATTAGATCGATACTAATATTATTATCGAAAGCTTACTTGATGAACTTTCTATATAATTTTTAAAAAATAAATTAAACTAATTAAAAAAATATATAATTCAACGTTAAATTATCGATGCTACAACAAACCACCCACCACAGAAAGGAGTTTTTTCAAGACTTTCTGATCACACTGGTTGGTAGAAGTTTCCACGTTTCCTCTCTCCTTTTTCTTTCCTCGCTCCCTCTGTTTTCTTTTAGCATAACACTCACAGTACAGTAACGTCCACGTTGCATAGAAACAAAATCTATACTATTTTTTTTCCGATAATTTGGAAAACCGATCATCTTCTGACTATTCCTAACAAGGCCAGATGCATAGGTCTGGATGTGTAATTTTCAATTCCTTTCCTGCATCTTCTCTAGCTGGATGCATATACCTACCCTTTCTCCCATCTTGAAGGAACAAACCTGTCCGTTAGCAGAAATCAATGTAGCTCTGCTGTACTTCAGGAAATGTTTCAAAAGATGCAAATCATCACGTGCGTGCATACATAATAAGATTCTAGAAAACACAGAATAGCTATAACAGAGACAACCTTTGAAAAATGATCCTGCTTCCTCTGAAAACCAGTTCATTTGTGTCTGACTTCTCCAAATCTCTTAACCTTTCCAAAGTGAAAGTTTATAAATAACAGAGACATCACTTTAATTTAAAAGCTTACCACTGCACTCTTAAAATTTATACGTAAAAATGGATATCATTTTAATTTAAAAGTTCATATTAATAAATCACGGGTTCATATATATATATATATTCCAACTTTTTATTCCTAATCCAAGCAGGATTTTTTTACGGATTTTATGCATATTGAGATACTATACAGTTCAGTTTTTTAATTGAAATCTCAAAAATTTTTTTTGTCTAATTTAAAAATTATACTTTTATTTTATTGTTGTTTCGGATATTATCTAATGACAACTTGTCACGTTAAAACACATATGATAAGTTCTAGCCAATGATAATTTGTTATGTCACCAATTCAATCAATTAATTTGAATCCATTACAATACGTGATGATTGTTATTGACTAAAGCTTGTTATGTGTGCTTATATGATATATTATGATATGAAACAATAATAAAATCTAAATATGTGCAAAATCCGATAAATATAGAACTCAACAATTAGAGATCTAGAACTTAAAGCTTAGTATTTTTGGTTTAATTATAGAGAAATCAGCAAAGTCATTAGAATCTAACCATAGTTGCCGCCAGTTCCAACCCCACCAATTGTTGGAGAAATCTATTACACTTTTGGAGACCCATTTACCAATTGTTGAGGAAACCTGTACTTGCGAGGCCAAGTAAATCTGTATGTACTAACACTTGCAAGTAAAGATCGACAATTACTTTAATCCAAAAACTAAGAATAATGAATCACGAATCTATTTTATATATAAATACTTTAAATTTTTTATTCCTAACTGAGTAAAATCAACCAAAAAAGTATATGCGAAGAAGAAGAGAAAAAGAAAAGGAAAAGATGCTTTCTTTGTTTTTTATGCTGGAATGGTCAAATCACTAGCCAATTGATTGCTCCCACGACTATAACCATGAGCAAATGTTGGTTGATGGGCATGACGATGGGAGTTCCAGCACATGGGGATTAGTGGCCTTCACTGTTTCTTAACAACTCTTGCTTGATTTACGAGATAATTGCATTGCTTGGCATAATTTTACAAGTCGAAGGCAGCCATAAAAAACCGCCCAACTCTCATCTTTCCATGTGGCTCTAACAACACTTTTAGCTACTGGTCTCCTGTTAGAAACTTGTTCTACCAATCTTTGACCCGTTTCGTCCTCCGAACAGGAAGTTTTCTGGACCTTTCCGCAGCTTGATTTCTCAAATAATGTACTCTCTCGAGATCATCATGTTCCTCTTCCTTGAGCTAATAAGGAAGCTTCATCGTTTGTCTAGCCAGATATTTCCTCTATTCATTGAATTTGTTGACATGCGAAACATGTAAATTATAAAAACGAATTGTTTAGTCCCATTAGTTTTAAGAAATAAATTAACTAGTCTCTTTAATGATTTGATCCGTAACTTTTTAAATTTTCTTATAATATAATCACTTTTGCTTTTTTTTTAAAAAAAAAACATTATTTTGATTTTTATGTTAATAAATAAAAAAAAGTAAAATCTATGAGAGAATTAATGAGAAAAAAATGAAATTTTTTGAAATAAAATAATATTAAATTAAACATAGCCAATACTAATGAAAGAAATAAATAACTAGTTTTTAAAACAATAAAGATTAATTAATTTGTTTTTAAAAAATAAAAGGACTAATTTATAATTTATTAAAATTTGAAAATGATAAAAATAATAATAAAATCAAATTAGGAACTTTGTTATCTTGATGTTCCTCATAAAAGATAAGACCATTCCAAAATTGATTGTTTTTAGGAGTGAATCTACTTTTTCGACTGGCTTGGCTACGATGCCTTAAATGCAAAATCATGTATTGTTTCAGCAACTTTCGGACTTAATAATGACAAAGATACGAAAATTTTATGAGGGCAAGAATTCCTAAAAGGCAATCGACCTGCAAGCGTAGAGAAGAAGTAATTGTAGAAAAAAAGGTTTCTTAGAAAAGAAATACTTTGACCAGAAAAAGTAATTGTTGAAAAAGGGTATATAAGAAAAGAAATACTTTAACCACAATGAGTGGTTTAGTAGCAGAAATTTTGGATTTTCAATAGAAATTTTAAGGTTTAAATATCATTTTTACAATTTTTGCAGTTATTATAAAGTTTAGGTCCTTTTTTTAATTTTAAAAGTATAAAATAACTTAAAATTTCTGATTTTAAGACTAATTTTGATTCCTTAAAAAATAATAAAAAGATTATCGGTTGTCGAGTTATAAGGGGGGAAAAAAGGAATACTTTACTTAGGAAAACTCCAAAGATGATAGGGGATGATGAATCTATCTTTATATCGCCGAAAAAGTAGAAATTGGAATTTCTTAACAAAAACTAACAGTACCAATCATTTTTTTAAAAAAAAAAGCAAAAGAAAAATAGGTTTTGTCTTTACGCAATGGTATAAGTCC